CCTCTCATGTATGTAAGAATTCTTCTTTATGCATTAATGTTAATGTCACTCACTAAATCACTTAAACCCGATCCCTCGGCGAAATAAGCCTGTCCTCAATCACTAGTTCATGAAATTCCTAGCATCGCTAATAATTAAATGTGAAGATCAAGAGCTTTAAGACTACCAAGACTCATACCCTCATTCCTGAGAAATATTACTCTTGGGAGTAATTCAACAAGAACCTGAACTGTAAGGAACCTCCTAGCACTCATGCAATTCATACATCACGCTATGAATGAGTTAAACAAAGCGAACATTGATCACAGAAGAATTACCCCAATAGTTAATTAAAGAAGCATAAATTATTAAGAATCAATTCAAATACATGAGAGTTCACAAGGTTACATCATCCTCCAACAACAAATAGAGTTTAGTTCACCATAGACATGGTGAAACTAGATGAAGAATGAAAAAGCATGAGATAGCAAAACCCTAAAAGTAGAGGATGGAAGCTCCTGCATCCAAATTCGCCTTCAGAGAGTGGAAGAGTGTGTTGTTGCGCTACTCTAGCCAGAGATACAAAACCTAGGATGTCTAGGTCCTTTAAATAGAGCAAAGACAGAATAGAAACAAAGCTCAAGCCTGTGTCATTGGCGCTCAAGCGCCCCACCTAGGGCGCTTGGGCGATGAGCGGTGGTACCCTACGCTCAAGCCTCTGAAAGGACGCCCAAGCTTCGTGCTTCTGGCACTCAAGCACCCCAAAAGGGGCTCTCGGGCAGTGAGCAGTGGTTTCCTGTGCTCAAGCCTCCAAAAAGGGCGCCCAAGCTTCGAGCATTCCTCCCTTCTGGTGCTTTTCCAGGCCTTTCTAAGCTCCATCTCCATTGCACTTCGTCTCTACTTTCCATATTATCTCATTTCCTATCAAAACAAGAGAAATTAGTCATAAAACCATCAAATTCAATGTCAACTCTCTTATTCACACAACTTAACAGAAAAACATGATTTCAAGCAAGTTTCTAAGCAGAAAAGGGTGCATTTAGTATCAAAATTACATCACAGATAACGATATTTTCAATTGTTATCAATGGTGCCTACAGTCCCCCCATCTGATGGATATTTTATGGAGAGATGGGAGTTGACATGATGGCACCAAAGGCGTTGAGGCAAGGTCGGTTGAGAAGTACGTTGTACGAAGTGTTCGCTTCCACCAACAGAAAACGCAATCTCTTCTCTTCGCTATCCCGACCGGTGCTGAGGCGAGTGTGAAGGTCTATGTAGCCCTTGGTGTCTACTTGTTCTCCGGCGAAGCTGACGATCTGCTCGTTGTACGAGATGATCAGATTTTTTGATATGTCCATCCTTTGGAACGTCTTCCAATAGAGGATATTCACAAAGCTGCCTTAGTCAACAAGTACCTTACTTACGTTGTACTTGGCTATCTCGACCGTGATAACCATAGGGTCGTCCTATTCCAGGTTGGGGGCGTGGAAATCTTCGTCTGTAAATGTGATGGGGGAAATGGTCCTCCTCGGCCTGCTGACAGCGTGGATCAAACGGAGGGCTCGAATGTGTCGTTTTCTAGCAGAAGCGGACAGTCCCCCCGGCTCGGCAAATCTACCGGATATTATGTTGATGTGACCACACAGGGGCCAGTCGTTACTCCTGTTGTGGCTTCGAATCCTTCTTCGCTCTAACCAGGTTCGGTCGCTCCTACCATGCCTCGGGCGACTGCGATATTCTTGCCTGTCCGGACTCTTTCGTCAAGGACTTCGTTGGGACCGTTGCGCTTGATCCAACGGTCGTTCAGTTTTAACGTACTTCTTGAGTTGACCTGCCCGAATCAACTCTTTAATTCTATCTTTCAGGGTTACACATTCTTTCGTCGTGTGGCCCATATTTTGTGGTATAGGCAGTGTTTGTTGCCATTTTCCTTGGGCGGCGTGGGACGCCTCTTCGACTCCGAAATCAACTCAACGTTCAATGCTTCTTGTAGTATTTTGGCCTGGGGGCGTTCGACAGGGTATATTATTGAAAGTGCGGCCCTCTAGGTGGTTCCCTCGGCTTGAATCTACCCGTCTTTGCAAGTTGGCCCTCATGCTTCTTATCGTCTGTCCTCTCCCCTTTTGCTTCTTGATTCTCTTTTTTGTACGACTGTGTCATCTCTTCTACTCTTATTTCGTTGGCCGCCTGTTCTCCTAGCTCTTCCATGCTTTTAGGTTCCCGTCAGCACACGCTATCCTTGAAGGGTCCCGGTCGGCTTCCGTGCCGACAGGACATACTAGAGGGCAAGCTTAGAGTTAAGGCCCTTTACCCGCCATACAATTTTCTGATACCAATCCATGAACGTCTTCAGTAATTCTTCATTTCCCTGCTTGAGGTTTACAAGTTCAAAAATGGTTAAATCTTGAGTGCGATTGCTTGCAAACTGACAACCAAACATGGATTTGAGACCATCAAAGTTCTCAATGGAGTTGAAAAGGAGCGAGTTGAACCATTCTAAGGCTTCTCCTTCCAACGACAAGGAGAAAGCCCTCCACCAAATGGCATTATTTCCTGTATGAAATGCCATCGGATTGGTAAATGTCTTGATGTGATCGTTTGGGTCAATCGTTCCATCGTATACCTTGAATTAGGCGGGACAAATTGCTCGAATATGTGAACGTCCATAATGGCTTGGACGAACGGTAATATGTCGGATGTGCTCTCGGCTTTCACCACCAACTATTTGCTTAGCGGCATTCTCAGCCGGGACGGCTAGTCTCGATTGGTTTCCACGTCTCATACGGCGTAGTATTTTGCTCTATCCTTTCCTCCTGGGCAGCATTGCCCTGCTCTTCTCTTGCCTTCTCCCCCATCTTTGGAATCTTCTCCTGTGCAATCCGGGCCGAACACTCGCCCTAACGACTGCCAGCTTCGCCTTGTGATGTTGTTGCATTTCTTCCATTATTTGCTGTAGCATCCTGATAATTTTTGTCGGGTCTTTTGTACTCATATTTCTCATGGTCACCATTGGATTTGACAAGTTACTCAGTCCCACGGTGGGCGCCAAATGTTTCGGGTGTGAGGTCAAGCAACTCCCAACGCCTACACAATTTCTCCTAAGAAGTCATCCGCTCGGCGTCTCTCGTCTTCGTCTTCACTCCATCGTCAGGAGGTGTACCTGCCAAAGGTTCTCCGATGCCTAAATCAATCAACTGTTCGTACGGTATACCAATGTGACAATAACAAATGTACAGTAAATGTGAATCATCTATCTCTTACCTTTGACCTGTATTTATAGTTTTTGTCATAAGCCTGAGATCCCGACCCAACAACTCTAGTTACCACTTACCTTATTCTGTGCAGAAAGACCTTATTATCGACTCAGACCAAGCGTTTAGCTTCTAGCCGTTCGGTCCAACTCAGGATTTCTACCACGCTCGATCAGCTTGGTTACGTCCAGCCCTCCAAGACCTTCCAGCATGTTTAATTATAGGGTGACGTCATGGTCGTCGGCCCATACAATATATATACAATTCATATGTTTTGTATTTTGGATTCTGCAATTCGGGACATGTAAAAGAATAAAAATAAAAACTTCTAGATTCTATAAATGGAAGGGTTTTTGTATGGTAAGTTACCTGAACCAATCGACAGCATACGGTCGTCCTTAAACGACCGCCTACTTAATAGGTTACCTAAACCAATCGACAGCAGACGGTCAGGTTACCTGAACCAACCGTCATCATACGGTCGTCCTTGAGCGATCGTCCACTTAATAAAAGGAGCGACTGTTTAGGAACATCCTAAGCTGGGCTCCGCCACCCTTGACGTCAACCATCGTAAGCGATCGTTATCTTACGATCGACTATTGATCGTAAGCGATCGTTATCTAACGATCGTCTATTGATCGAACTAAAAGGGCGGTCAGTCAATTTCAGTCAAAATTGACATCTTAAACTGACATCTTAATCCCGAGAAAACGGTTGAATGTATCCGATTATAACGCCGCGCATCACGGAGTTAACTGACCCAATATTAAGCACGATCTAACTGTTACAATTTCCAAGTGGTCAACTTCTATAACTGACCGAATTTTCAGGTAAATAGTTCAGTTTTACTGTTTTAAATATGAAAAGCGGGGTGGAAAAAAGGTACATTTTTCCCAGGAGAGATTTATGAGTTTCTATTATTATTGAACTAAGAGAGTTCTACAATTCCCATTCCCATTTTTCTGAATTTAGCGTCGGAGTGCCTTCGCAGGTACCCCTCATTCTCCCTGAAGTTGATTGATAAGGCAAAGGAAAAGAAGGAAAAGATATCATAGGAGGAGCAGAGGCGACTCAAGAAGTTCATATCTCGGTCCCAACATTTATACAGAAACAGTTTCCATAATTCATTTCGGGAAGTAAAAAAAAAAACAAAAACTAGCAAAACTCACATGTACCACTACCCACTTTCACCACTAATCACCACCAAGAACGGGAAACCAGAAAACACCAACCACCAACAATCACCATAAATACACCACTACCAAAACACAATAACAACACTCTAAGTATTTTCGCTTCCTAAAACTATTACTCCAGGCTTCCTAAAACTATTACCACAGGGTTAAGTTTGGTATAATCAAATCTATGAGGTGCATGTCGAAAACATGGGATGCAGAAACAAACTTCCTAGTTCAATAATATTCTAACAGGAACAATTTAAAGAAACTCCTATTTCTCTTTAAAATAATAGGTTTCTTTTGAATTAAATTAAGAAAATAATTTACATTAAATTACAACAAATGATAAAAGTGTGTTAAGATTTCAGTTTGACTAAAATATCAAATTACATAATGATATATATATATATATATATATATATATATATATATATGTTAACACATGAATTTCATTGACATTCGTAATAAATATCTTAAAAATCAGTACAACATTTAGTAGAAATTAGATAAAAGTGTAATATTATTATAGATAAAGATTTAGTTCCATTAAGAAGCATAATTTTGTAAATTTAAAATGAAACATAACTTGATCCAAAAAGAAACTGAATTTCATTAGTTTAGATACAGTGATGTGCATACATAGTTATCTGTAAAATAAAAAGTCCTATGCAAAATATTGTAGGTCATGTTTAGCAAATTGTTCCTCAAAACATTACCATTTGGAAACTTAGACTCGTGGTTCCATAAAGACAGGGAAAACCCTCTTCTAACTGCTACCAAAAGGCAGAAAACAGAAAAATTAGAAATTTCATTCCATGATTCCAAGTTCTTTCCCATTCATGTTTGGTAGATTCTACGGAGGAATTCCCAATAATAATTCAACATGTGATCTGCAGGTCTCACTCTATCCCACTTCCCATTAACAAATATAGCATATGCATCTGCTGCATACCTGATTAAGAAAGAGTCAGAGTATCATCAGCAACAGAAGCAAGAAAACAAACATACTATATACACACAGATCAAATCACGAATACAAATTACACTTACTATGATGCATTGATATAATCATTCTAAAATTTGACACAATCAAGGTAGTATGTAATTACTACATATAAAACACTCACTCCCTAAATAATGAAAAAAAGAGTGCACACAAAAATGACTTACTTTCCAACTCCATGCAATTGAGTTACGTGAGTCCAGCTTTCGTCCAAGTATTCCTCAGAGAGACGTTGTACCATTTTTGCTCTTTTGTGTTGAAAACCTAGAGTTTTTATTGTCTCTTCTATTTCCTCTCTTGCAACTTCTGTGCAAGATTTCGCATCCGGACATAACTTGAAGAAGTCTGACACAATCTTTTTTGTCTACATTTTGCAAAAATAATCCATCAGTACATATAGATATAATTTTAATATTTACACAACAACTAATAGTCCTTCTTAATTGAAAGGAAACATCAAATGCATGAGGTTTTCAGCAAACGCAGAAGTTCAACTCTGTTAATAACCACTGGTTCTAATGACATAAGTTCAACTCTGTCAATAACTATTGGCTGTATGATTCCTAAATTTAACACATTCTCAAACAGTGCTCCTACCTAACTGACGTCATTCACCATACTTAGATAAATGAGATGAAAAAGAATAATGTATACTTTTACTTATCCTGTTACACTTTTACTGATATATTTATAGGATACAAAGAAGAGGCAAGGCACTTAACTAAAACCCAATACCTAAAGACGGGTTCACACACAAGAAAAATAATAAAAGAAAACAATATATTTCAACAACCATATGTACCATAAATGATTGCATGTTTAGTTTCACATCAAATCAAGTCAAACTCAGATTTATGATCCACATTCAAGCTACTTGGATTAACTTTCATTTTTCACTTCAGAAATGTGGATCTAAGGCTTCAAAAGTCAAGCCAAACACGCACTATTGACTGGAGTCCCCAGAAAAGAGTACATGTTGCAGAAAATTCAACATTAACAAACCACAATCTTTTAAACTCTCAATCATATTATAAATATGGAATGTTAGCTGAGTTCAACAAAAAATCAAAGAGGAAAAACAATGCAACAGAACTACGTACTATATCGTGCATACACAGATTTTAAATATTCCTTGCACGTGATAGGTATATATAAGTCATCAAAATTGCTGCAAATCTTGCAAGTCGCTGATAAGATAAAGGAGAACTAAATATTAATTTCAATGAGATTATCACTGCTGAGAACTGTTGAAATGTAATGTTTCTTTATTATTATTATTTCTGTATGGGAACCCAACTATTAGGTTAGGGTTTAAGGAAGTTCTGCTCCCCATTTGTATTTTGCTCCTTTGCACTCTATAAACAGAGTGGTAAATAAGATTGTAACAGCGTAATAAGAAAATACATTAATTCAAGTTTTTCAAGTTGGTCTCAAGAGCCAGACCATTTCATCTTCCCTGTCCATCATTGGCGCGGTTGTCCTCCACTGTTTTTGCCATTCGCCGCTGCCGTCGCCACCGTCGTCCGCCATCGCATCTTCTTCGTCAAAGTCAAGATTAGGTGCACCTCAAGAAGCATGACTCAGCCCTAGATGTCTCCACCTCAGAAACCTTTGCACGTGCCATCTTTTTCTAGCCAACTTTAGGCACGTTTTCGTCACGTGTCGCCTTCTTAGTGTCGGAATCACACCACACCGTTGCCTCGCCAGAGCCTCCTGAACGTGTTGTTGTCTTTGTCCTTCTATTTCGTTAGTTGTAACTTTGACCTAGGGTTTTTTCCTCAAAGCTAAATTTTTTTTTTTGGAATGGCATCACTTCTCCTATTGGAATGACTTCCTCTCTATCTACTACTACTACTATTACCACTGCAAAGCTCAATTGGAAAAATTATTTATTTTATTCTGCATATGTGGTTTCTTGGTCAAGGATACCATAATCATCTTGAACAAGATGTCTCTACTGTTTCGGATGAAGAAAAACCTAAGTGGCAAAAACTGGAGTTTCAGTTATGTGTTGTTTTATGGTAATTTGTTAAGCAAGAGGTCTTAGAAATTTTGAGACCTTATAAGACATGCTTCTCTTTTTGGAAAAGGGCACAAAACATTTTCGCTAATGATGTACAACATCTCCTTAGATCAAGACTTGGATTGACAAAGACATTGGAAATATTGGAGAGAAATTAACATCTTGAATATAGGAGGACCTGTCGGAGGAAATGAACGTCTTGAATAGATGAAGAGAAGTAAGGAGTCTATTCAAAGAATGTAACATAAGCAGTCATGTAGTGCTTCTTGGGTTCAAAAGAGTAACATTGGTACCCTTTTTGAAGTCGAGAATAGCCTAAGAAGACACATTTGATAGCACAAGCAGAAAGATTGTCTAGCCCTAGGGACATGTCATGAACAAAACATACACTGCCAAAAACTCAAGGAGAGGTGTGAAGAGAGGATCATCTGGAAAGAGAATAGAGAAAGGGACTTTATGATTGAGAAAGGAGGAGGGTATTCTATTAATAAGAAAACATGTAGTTAAGATGACATCCACAAGGGATGGACAGGAATATGGAAATCAAACAAAAGGGTACGAGCAATTTCAAACAAATGTCTATTTTTCCTTTTTGCTATATCATTTTGTTGTGGTGTATGAGGACAAGTGGACTAATGTAATATACCATGTGAACTCAAGATTGCAGAAAAAGTGGATGAGAAGTACTCTTTGGCATTATTTCTTATGAAGATTTTGATTACTTAACCAAATTGATTATTGATTTCATTCAAAAAATGAAACATAATTCCCTAAGTCCCAAAAAGGATAAACATTAACGTCTAAGATTTCATTTCAAAAGATGCAATAGTAACCCCACATAAAAACATTTCAGAAAGGCAATAACAACAACTATAGCCCCTATTTCTACCTTGTCTTCTATTGCAGATAAACCGATGAATGACACTAATACAATATAACAGCTACAAATATAAGAGCAGGAGATATTTTTCTGCCTTCAAATAGATACATATAAAAGCACAGTATATGGTGCCTACCTCAAGCCAAGAGTATAACAATGGGCTAAAATGAAAAATAAACTATGCAAAAAGTCTAAGATTACAGATGCATAAAAATAATTATTATGCAAATAATTGATACCTGTGTACCAGAAGTCCGGTTGAGAAGCATGCAGATAACCAATACCCTCCAAGGGTCATGAGCATGATTCTCTTGAATGAGAACAATCGCAGACCGTGGAGGCTTCCATGCATTATCAGGGGCTTTTCTTTCATATGCCTCGTCCCACTTCTCAGAAGCAGAAAGATTTTTTTTAATTTCAATAGATTTTTCACTGGATTTATTTTCCTCCACAAAATTTTCAACAGTGTGTAAAGCAATAGATTCCAACTTGCCTCCCTCATCCAAAGGGGAAACATATCTAATAGCATGGGCAACATTTTTCTGAGCTAGAGGCTTTGTCTTCACGTCAATCTTCTTCCCACCATCATTATGAAAATAAGGGGAAACATATCTAATA